AAGCGTTTGGAGATGTGATGCACCCTGCGCTCGATGAAGTCAAAGTACCACGTACCGAGTAAAGGTAAGACCAGTGGGCGTCACTACGAGTTGAAGTGTACTACGACCACGATATCTGCTTCGAGGTTCTAGAGCGTGACTGATATAGAAAGGCGATACAGAGGAGATAAAGCTTACGCTCTCATGACATCCGATGTGCATCAGCTAGCAGAAAGTCATGTCTCTAGGTGGCGTCTGGAGATGTGTCATCTGTTTGACTACGCTGCAGCACATGGAAACATGCAAACACGTTCATGCTTTTTCAACCTGTGAAATGTAAAATTGTCCGCCAAGATATTGTTGTTACGAATCTGCGTAGTTTTTCCAGTTGACTCGGCTAGTCAGGCAGGGGAACCCATGTATAGAAGTGCAGGAGATCCTCTAAAATGACTTCCTACGCACACTACAGATGATTCTGTGTGAATCATTATGGCGCATTGCTATATGTTAAAAAAAATACAACTATGCTAGAACTGGCAGCATCTGCCGTATCGAAGGACTAGTCGTGAGTCTGCACAGCGACCGACTTCAGAGTCGAATGTACCGGCACAGCGAGCGACTTTGAAGTCAGCTGTACGGACGAATTATTGGGATGTTTTTGCTCGCAGGTTTTGCTATTCGGCCGGAGCGCACGGACGTGCCTGGAACAGCGATGGGTACGGTCAACTCCATTCAATTTTAACTTCCCCGGAGTAAAGTAGTGATCTTTGGTGCAAACGTCTAAGGACGTATACTAGACACCGTTTCGATCTTGTGTAACGGGGTGAACCGTTACATAACAATTTATAAGAAATTGTTAATAGAATATAACTATAAGAGTTATATTCTCAGAATATTGTCATAAGGACAATATTCTGCAGCACTTACGAGTAGTTCCTAATTGGTTGATATAGGCCATTATATCAACCAACGAAGACGCGCCACGACAGACGCACGCAATGAGTGGTGAGCAGATAGTTGATAAGCACATTTGTATTTAGACATAGATAGATGAAGATAAATAGTGATTTATTGCAGACATTAACTATTATAAATACAGTTCTACTTTTTACTTTAACCAAGTACTCGCTTCTTCTTACCGTCGTCCTCTGCACGTACGAGTGTACGTGAAGTTCCGAGGCACCGCCTTATTCTGTCATCAGAATAAGTAGCTTGTACTGTCACCAGTACAAGCTTCAGGGTGCCCCGTTACACCTGGTAGCACTTCGTAGTCCGTCCAAGGACCACGTTCACATCTAACGTGAATATGTTGGATGATGAAGATGACCAAAGCTTTCACGCTACGCGTGACGGCTACTCCCATTTGAGCGATGTCGAATGGGATGCGGTTGAACGGATGGGTTCAACCATGGGCATCCATGCTGTTAGCGTCATGCTAGAGGCTCTCAATAGAGATGCCCAACATGCTACTATCGCCAAGTTCATTCAAAATGAAATTGACACCGAACGCGAGAAAGTAGCCTTGATTCACCAACAAGGTTCTCAACAAGCAGAGTTGTTGAGAGAACAAGGTGCTCAACAGTTTGAACTGTTGAGACAGCAGCAGGCTGCTGCTGGTGGGTCGATGCACTCGCGTCGACCCGAAACCTTGAAGATTGACATCTCCAAGTATAGGGGAGTCGAAGAGGACTCCCTCTTGAGATGGTTCGTCGAATTGGATGACGCCATAAGGGCGCGTCGCATCGACGACGGGGATATGCAAGTTGCATTTGCCCAGTCAAATCTGGCAGGACGTGCCAAGACTTGGGCACTGGGGCTCAAGTTGCACGACCCATATGCGTTTGGGTCGTTGGAAGTCTTCAAGTCGCAGCTCAAACAAACGTTTGAACCGCCTAGAGCTGAGTTCAGAGCTCGAACCGAACTCTTGAAGCTCAAGCAGGGTAAGCGTGACGTGCACGCTTACGCGCAACATGTACGACATCTCACGAATTGTATAAGTTCCAACCCGTTTGATGAACACACGTTGGTTTCGGTGTTCATTCAGGGTCTTGCGGATGGTCCCGTCAAGACTCACTTGTTCCGACTTGAACTAGATTCACTAGAACAAGCCATTTCCATTGCGGAGCAGGAAGACTTCAGTCTGAGACAGGCTCGCGCGAGCTCGACATCATATCGTCAACCGAGACGATATGACAACGGAGGTCCAGAGCCGATGGAACTCTGTTATGTAGAGAGCGAGAAGGCTCGCTCTACATGCTACAAGAAGTTGCAGAGATGCAACAGATGTCAAAAGACAGGACACTACGCTTACGAGTGTAGTGCCCCTCGTCCGGTGTCTCGCGACACTGGGCGTAGTGACCGTCCACCCATGAGAAAGGGGCAGGGACGAGGGTCCGCAGTTGGTGCAAAGACGCAACGACGGGATGGACCGTCAAAAACGGACAGGATCAGTAGGTGCGGAGCACCCTACTGATCCAGCAACGTCAAGAGAATTTGTAGGCCTCTTGATGAAGGTTGCTCCCAACACACAAACGTTGTGCGTTGCTGCTCTAGGTAATGAGGTCTCACTCATTACCTTGAAACTTGAAGTGACGAATAAGTTGTCCCTTCGAGCTCTAGTCGATTGTGGGGCGTCCAACAATTTTGTGCGACGCCAATCGCTTGAAGATGGTCACTTTAAATTCAGTGAATGTGACACACCTCCTACGAGGATGACGGTACGTCTTGCGACAGGCGCATCCGTAACCGTCATGAAGCGTATAGTGAAGCTCCACTATACGCTAGAAGATACCCAATATGACGATGACTTTATCGTATTGGATTTGGATGACAAATTTGATGTCATCCTTGGAATACCATGGCTCAGAAGGTACGAACCACGAGTAAACTGGCAACATCAAACAGTAACAATGCCTGCCGCTTGTTCATCAGATGGCCATCTGATGAACGTTTTGGAGCGTCCACAAGCGTGTGGATGTACTACGATTGATTGCGATGGCCTCACTTGTGGTACGGTCGTTAGTACGACTGCACAAAACCTTATTATAACAAACAGTCACACTTCGGAGCAAAGTTCCGGCGGCTGTGAGGAAACACAGGCTGCGTCGAAGGTCCACCACTCGAATAAGTCGAGTGGACCAGGACAAAGATGTATCCCTAGCGGGGAACATCCAGAAGAGAAACAATCGATCGCTCAGGTTAAGCGAAACGATAATCCTAGATCGACTGGAGAGTCTTTCGTAGAGGATCTCGCTGTGGTTGCGCAACCCCAGCTAGAGGAAGTAAAGGGAATACTTCCCAAGATTACAAATACGGCGGAAATAAGTTCCCCGAAACCCGCGGGAATAAGTCCCCGGGAAGCCGAAGGAATAAGTCCTTCGAAGCCTAAGGGAATAAGTCCCCAGGAACTGACAGAGACATTGAATGTCCTAGTCAATAACGGATCAAGTGTAGGCGCTTATACACTTGATCTGATTGCGCCTCCGAAGTCAACTTCGGAGATCACTCAGTTGCCAACGCTCGAACATAAAAGGTTCTTGCGTGATCTGCGTTGTGGCAAAGTCAAGCAGATCTGTATACTCGTCGCTGAAGACGAGTGTGTACCGACATAAGGTCAGCAACAGTGTTTACTGAGAGCGAGAGAGTTCTCAGTAGTTCATCTATGGACGAGAGTGTCCTAGATGAAAAGACACAAATTGAGCGATATGACTCCCAATCGTGGGAATCGCTCAAGAAAATCCTCTCTATGAAGATTTGGTTGAATTCAAGGATGTATTCCCTGAAACTGTTCCGTGCGAATTACTGAAGGATAAAGGTATTCGACGCGAGGTCGAGCTTAAACCAGGCTCGAAGTACTGTGTCATGAAGCAGTGGCCACTGCCTCGTGAACAAGTACTTGCGATCGACAAGTTCTTTGCCGATCGTTTAGCTGCGGGCCATGTGAGGGAATCAACTTCCCCACATAGCTCTCCGACCTTCTGTGTGCGAAAAGCAACAGGAGGGTGGCTGATAGTGCACGCGTTCAACAAATTGAATGCTGCAACGGTACCGGCTCAGACGCCGATACCGAGGAAGGACGTAATCATTGATGGTATGTCAAAGAGTACCATCTTTTCGTCCATGGATTTGATGGATGGCTTCTATCGAATCCTTATGCGAGAACGGGACATACCCTATACCGCAGTTAGCACGCCTAGCGGCATGCTCTGGGAATGGCTAGTAATGCCACAAGGGCTTAGTAATGCCCCTGCCACGTTCAACAGATGTGTATCACATCTGTTGAAACCAGAACGAGAATTCGCGCCGAGTTATTTCGATGACGTATTCATCCATAGTCGAGCTATGGATGGAAAGTCAGACGTTGAGGTTCACAGGTACCACATCCGACAGGTTCTTACAATCATGCGAAAGCATCAATTGTATGCAAACCTCAAGAAGTGTATATTTGCAGCAAGCGAAATACCACTTCTTGGGTGCATCGTTGGTAAGAACGGAGTACGTCCTGATCCCGAAAAGATCAAGGCGATCACGGACTGGCCTGTGCCGGTTGATGTCAAAGGTCTTCGAAAATTCCTTGGGCTAGCGGCGTATTTGCATAAGTATTCACGCAATTACGCCGAGATGACTGTGCACCTCTCTCGTTTGTTGAAAAAGAACGAGAGGTGGTTATGGAACGCTGAATGTCAGCGCTCCTTTGATGGTATCAAGCAGAGCTTGATACAATCCCCAGTCCTAGCAATTGCCGATCAGGACAGGCCATTTCATGTGGTCTGTGATGCCAGCGATTTCGCAATCGGCTGTGCATTAATGCAGTACGACCTAGAAGGCGTTGAACGCGTCATCAGTCGCGTCAGCTGCAACCAGCTGAGCGGAACTATCCAGTGCATGACAAGGAACTCCTTGCCATGAAGTATGCACTCGCGAAGTTCAGAGTCTATCTATTAGGAGATAGACCCTTCGTTGTTTACACTGACCATGTGTCATTACGCACGGCAGTGAACAGCCCGCACCTTTCACAACGAATGGCGCGGTGGTTGTCATTCTTTGCGGAATACAACTTTACGGTCGAGTACAAACCAGGACGACTTAATGTCGTCGCTGATGCACTCTCACGTCGTCCCGACTTTGAAACAGTCGCGAAACCCAACAGTGAGACAGTCACTGTTGCGGTTATGACGTCCTCAGTCCCATCTACACCGTTGTATGATGATGTGAGGCGGGCGTACACCCAAGATGGTGAGATAGTGAAGTTGTTGACACATCTCTCCCAACCATCTCGAGAATCGTTGAAACGGTTGTCGTCTGCGTTATGATCTGCATCAGATCGATACACTACTCGCAACGGGTTACTGTATTACACAGCCGTTTCTGGTGACACACCACGTGTTGTCATCCCAGATGATACTGATCTGCGTTTGCGGATCATGATCGAGTATCACGATGCTCCTATAGGAGGACATCGTGGCCGAGAGAAAACATATCTCACGGTGAGTCGAGACTTTTACTGGCCCCGCCAGTATCAGTTTGTGCGAAAGTATGTTCGCGCATGCGAAGTCTGTCAACGAGTGAAGTCAAGTCCTTCACTGCGTGCACCTTTACAGCCTCTACCGGTTCCGGCCGAGTGCTGGGAATCCATCTCAATGGATTTCGTCTTCGGGTTACCCAAAGACGCACGCGGGAATACGGGTATTCTCGTATTTGTTGACAGATTCAGCAAAATGGTACACCTTGTGGCTGTACCAGAGTCAATCACGGCAAGTGGCTGTGCTTGTGTCTTTATTGACACCATCTTCCGACTTCATGGGTCGCCCCGTGAACTCGTATCAGACAGAGATCCACGCTCCACTGCTGATTTCTGGCGTTCCGTGTTCAAATCACTCGGAACGCGCTTGAAGTTGTCGACATCATCCTGAGTCAGATGGTCAGACGGAACGTGCCAATCGTGTCCTTGAAGAGATACTTCGAGGATACGTACACTCCTTTAAGAGTTGGAGTGAGTTTTTGCCAATGGTAGAGTTTGCCATCAACAACTCGGTGCATGCGTCCACGACACATACACCGTTTTACGTGAATGGCTTGCGCCATCCGCGTGTACCCACCTTACTAGAGTGTAACGCTGGTTTAAGGGGGGGAGGGACTCGCGCGAGCAAAAACCGATTTGGTTCACGCTCATCACGCTCTGACGAAGAGGTCATGGCGTTTGATGCCGATATCGATAAAATCGATATCGAAGAAGATGATGCCATTGGGAGTGCGGAAGCCCTCACTGAAGAAGATGATGCCAGTGAGAGTGCGGAAGCCCTCACTGAAGAAAAGGTTGATGTTGCTGCAGTGCGCTCACAGCACACTGAAGCTAACGAGTCATCAGATGAGTTCATACTGGCTCGTGAAACGGTAGTCCGTTTTGTGCAAGACTTCATCGCCGAAGCGGTGGATAAGCAAAAGCAAAACGCTGACAAGAATGGAAGGGCAAACACTCTTTTATTTAATAAAGGTGACTTAGTCCTACTGTCTACGGTTAATCTAACGAAGCATGTAGTGACTAACTTGGGTAGTAGTAAAATTCTACCCAAGTACATCGGCCCATTTCGTGTATTGCATCGCCTAGGCAACGCATACACGATCGAACTGCCACGTAAGATGCGAACGCATCCCACGTTTTACGTTGGTCGGCTTAAGCCGTGCCATCAGTACGCTGCTTCTTCCGATGAAGAACGCCCTTGCGCTCAAGCATCTCACAGAGAGCCTTGTGCTCCCGATGGTGGGCATCAACAAGGGTCTGAAGAGCAGCTATCTCATCCCGAGACCGATCAACAATCCCACGAGCTACACTTAGCTCGTCACGAAGAGATGTCAGAGATCTCTCGTTCTCAAGCTGAGCAAAGGCAAACTCAGCTCGATGCTTCAAGACAGTGTCCCCCATTTGGAGACGCCTATTCCGCTCATGTTCGAGATCGTCGCGTAAACCTTGTGTTACGCGATCAAAGAAGCTCTCGGGAACACACCGATCCACATGATCGTGTGGAGAGCGTCTTTCCTCCTCCTCCACCTCCATTAGAGGACTCTCGCGGTGGCCAGCGCTATCTGGTTGAGCAGCTGTTGAACCACCGCGACGTGAACGGACGTCGGACGAGTTATCTCGTCCGGTGGCGCGGCTATCCCCCGTCCTGGGATACTTGGAAGCCCCGCTCCCAACTGATGATCGACGTACTGGGTCTGGTTGAGCAGTACGACGCGGCACATCCTGTGCCGCAGAAGGACCACCGGAGAAAGTCTTCCCGGCACGGTCGTAAAGGGATTTCAAGTTGTCAATCCCTTCGTACATCTCAATAGACATACGTACGCGCCACCACGGGCTATTAGGGAGGTAAGCCTCCTTAGGTGCTCGTGCAGAGTTGTTCACACAACATGGGCACGAGTCTCCCCAAGAGAGGCAGGGTAATCCTTTCTCCCTTGACAGACGATGCAGCTTGTAGCGTGCACCTGTCGGGGTTCGCTTTTCAAACTTATCACGAGCTTTGATAAGTTTGTCGTTCCAAACGTCACGACCTACATCCTCAAGGTTATGGATGTAAGCGCTCCACGCTTGAAGCAGTGAGTGACCATCACGCTTGTGATTCCCACTGTACCATCCATGCTTAAAGAAAGCATCGATGAAGAATTCATGTTCAGCGCGATAGGTTTTCGCACTGGGGTCAAGGTGATGGATTCTTGACGAATCGAAAAACCGTGTTCGATAACGATCACTCGTCGTCGCCGACAAGTGATCCATGACGGATTTGGGAGGCATCCATGCCTTCTTCTCAGGAGCGAGACGCAACACATTGCGGTCCCGCTCTTCCTGCGACGTGCGGACAGAAGTACTGGCACCTCGTTGCAAAGTGGTGTCCATAGGAGAACCGACACCACTGTTAGCGCCCGAGTCTCGCGACCTCGAGCGCCTTCGCTTCGGCGATGGTTCATCTGATTCATCAGATGAACCAAAGATGCTGCGACGCAAAGCATCGTCCATGCCACGCTTGGCAGGCGGCTTGGATTCAATCGCCGTCGATACGGAACCGTCTTCCGTATCAGGAGAGTACGAGACACCGAGCTCGTACTCTGTGAAGACATGAGTGTCTTCATGACCAGCGCCTGCATCACCAAGTGACACAGGCTGGGTCGCTTCAGCAACCGATGAGACATCAGTTGCTGTGGTTTCTGCTTCGGCGTCCGCACAGAGACGTGCGGACGCGCTCTCGGCGGCCTTGCTCGCGCATCGCATGGGCTTGTTTACCATGCGATGAAATGTTCGGAAGTGGACTCGGACCAACAAGTGCAAACCCTGTCCCAAATGATTTGGGACGAGTATCCATTTAGTCAATCAGTCACTAAAGTGACTGATGGTTAAGGGGGGTGATGTAACGGGGTGAATCGTTACATAACAATTTATAAGAAATTGTTAATAGAATATAACTATAAGAGTTATATTCTCAGAATATTGTCATAAGGACAATATTCTGCAGCACTTACGAGTAGTTCCTAATTGGTTGATATAGGCCACTATATCAACCAACGAAGACGCGCCACGACAGACGCACGCAATGAGTGGTGAGCAGATAGTTGATTTACACATTTGTATTTAGACATAGTTAGATGAAGATAAATAGTGATTTATTGCAGACATTAACTATTATAAATACAGTTCTACTTTTTACTTTAACCAAGTACTCGCTTCTTCTTACCGTCTTCCTCTAAACGTACGAGTGTACGTGAAGTTCCGAGGCACCGCCTTATTCTGTCATCAGAATAAGTAGCTTGTACTGTCACCAGTACAAGCTTCAGGGTGCCCCGTTACATCTTGGGCTCAGAATCTTGCTCATGGATGCAAAATAGGATGTATCGTATCGTATGAAACGCCCAGGTTCATCATAGAGTAATTATCAGCATATTCGTTTAGGTTTGCACCGGATTGCCAGCGTAAACTTCACAGTGTTATTGTTACCCTGGACGCTTTTCATGTAATTGTTTTCCAAAAGGCATCACACTGTCCGACAGAATAGACTGGCTGCACTACATATGTATTACTTACGTGTTGATTGTAGCGGTATCTGTCTCTTAAGAGCAATCATTTGGGCACACAACAATGACTTCACGGTGCATAGAGCTGTGGTGATGCCTTCATTATTAATGGGCTTACCATAATGTGACTTGCCGTCGTTTCGGACACTTCATACATTTCCACCTTATAAAGTATCTCCGTCAGAAAAATGTTGTGTACGTTGTTCAATGCGGGGTAATCAAAGCTTACATTGCCAAACATTCTGACGCCTCGTTGATTGTCTATTTCATGCTAATTAACTGTTTAGCTCACTTCGCACGTGAGTGTCGCGGATATCGGCTCTATATTACAGACTCCAAGCATATTTACCTACTTACTTCCATCCTTGTTCACGGCGAGATTTATCCCTTCATTGGCTTAACTTTATTAAAATGATATGACCAGTTAGTGCCCGGATTCCGTATAAGCTCCTTTGTAAAGACAGTCACAATCTATACGACGATAAGGCCGTACCAATTTTTGCTCTCCCCACTATATGCTTAGCTATTTCCGGCACGGTACATAAGGGACGTGGCAAAAAAACGCGTTTTAGGCAAATTTGTACAGAGCGAACGTTTTTGCCTTTTCACCGCTCCAGTAGCCTCGAAAACGTGAACAACCGTGCTACACTAGGACGCTGTATTCCTACTTGTACAGCAATTAAAGAAGACATGTAAATTCTGTGTCTTGGCGAAAAGACTTTATTACTGTTCTCGATACGTCTCGTCACGCTACTAATAGCGCTGATGGTGCTCATCTGGAGACCGACCATACGGAGCATTGCAGAAGCCCAAGGTGCTAAAAAAGAGCTGGTTGTTTGCCAACCGATAATCACCCCGCAAAGACCTAACTTATGCATTTGTTTCAAAACAAAATTAGTCTCCGACGAAAAGCGCGCTGTCTGCGTTCAATCTTGCAGCCGAAATAAAGAGACGTTGCAGTCAGATTAGCCTAGCATATCAAGACCGTGAGACTGCCTCAGCACTCACTGTGATAAAGTTTGTGCCAACAGTGACTCATTTGACTTGCGTCCGCCGAACTGATAAAATACTCCATAGGTATATTTTCTTGCCTGCTTCCGTAACAACATATGCATCGATGTCAGCAGTGACATCGGTCTTGGACCCTATATACATTTTCGCATTTGTGCGAAGACCTCGAGACGTTCCGTAACCTCTAACGGCGTAATATAACTGAACAGAAAGTATGAAGAAGCTATACCACCCATAAGTCAAAGGAACACTTTGGCTCAGTAAATTACCTGCTTCGTTTGGTCTTGAAATAAAACTTAAACAGCCACTATGTAAAAGTGCCCCCTTTGTTTGTGCGCCGCGAAACTACACGTACACTAGTACGTGCAGAAGAAGCTAATCTACTTGAACGACTCGTTGAAGTAAAGGTAAAAAGAGAGCTGTATGTTATGAAGTTAGAATACCAATACAACTTTAGTCTTATCTAGCTATATTAATCTATATTGTCGTATGACGACGACCTGCTCACCACTCATTACGCGCGTCTAGCAGCGATTGGTTGTAACCTTGGTTGATATGTCTTTTACAACTGATGTTTGAGCAGCACATGAATATTATCCTAGAAGGAAATAATGTTCCTTCAATGTTATTTATCTCGGGTAATGTTGGCAGCGAATTTGTCACGCTAGACAATATCCCTATTGACGCTGTTTGGTGTCAATATCATGCAACGTCTACCCCGTTATATCACCCCATCCTTAACCCTCATTTACCCGTTGATTGAATAATACTGTAGGGACAAGGTGACAACCGTTGTTTTACTCTGGGAAGGGGAGCACTTG